TGAGTGAAGAGTAAAGTGTTCCCAGTTGTTCTTTTGCACCTGAGTTCTCTCCCTGCTAACTCACCTGTATGAGTAAAATACAGTATTTAATGTATTTAATCATATCATATAATTGATGGTGAAATGTATTTGACTAATTATTAGCCTTGCACTATAAACCTATCGTTAGGTTGTCTCAAAATATTAAAAAATAAATGTGGAAATTTTGAGACTATCACATTTTAAAGTAATAAATACTAATCACAATGTCAGGTCAAAATCAAAAAATTGAATAAATATTTGCCTAGTACTAGAAGAGTACTAGAAAGGAATTAAATATGATTTTTTTTTCTGATTTAATTTTTAAGAATTCGGAATTTCAGAATTCAGATTTTAAACTGAAATGACTAAATCAGAAACCTTTATAATCCCTAAAACTCTCAGATTAACCCCAATCTTGTGTGTGCTGTCTGCTCACAGAATCGCAGGATGGGAATTATAAGACAGACGTGGGCAGCAAACCCAGAAAAGAGAGGACGGCCTTCACCAAGGAACAGATCCGGGAGCTCGAGGCTGAGTTCGCACACCACAACTACCTGACCCGACTACGGCGCTATGAGATCGCTGTCAATCTGGACCTGACAGAAAGACAAGTATGTCCTGTTGCTTCATGTCGACATCATTTTAGCATCTAAACCAGGGGTGTCAAAGTCGTCCTGGTTCAGACTGATTAGTCAAGTGGGCCGGACCAGTACAGTCATAGCATAGAGACCTATAAATAACATTAAGTCCATGTTTTTCTTCTTTGTTTTCATGTAAATAACTACGAGTGTATTAGCAAATATTCATATTTAATGAAACATAGTCTGACAAAACATCACCAACATGAAGAGTTTGTGCATTTTTTCACTTTCAAAATTTATCAAGCGGCCCCGGATTGAACACCCCAATGGCCCAGTTCTGGCCCATGGGCCATATGTTTGACAGCCCTCTTTTTAAGCTTGTTATTAACATCATCCCTTTGCTGCCCTGCACCAGTTGACGAACCACTGACATTTCAGTATTTAAATTCTTGACATTGTATAAGAGAATGACCTGTTTTTGGCAACTTTTTTCACAATGGAATTTAATTGAGTTTGTTCTTGCAATTTCAAAACATTAATTCCAAAGTATTTTAAATCGTGTTGGACAAGAACTTAAAACTTAAACTTTTCTGAACCAAATTCTGAAGAATCTTCTAAACATTCGATTTGTCACTTTGTTTCATTTAAGTTTATAATTTGTTGAGAATTTGTTCAAATTTTCCCCTAATGACACAAAGGTACTCTACTGAGAGTAGTAGTAGTACTAGTAGTAGTAGGTTAACCATTATAACGTAGTTTAACATTAGGATCAAACTTAAAACGTATCGCTAACTTATTGAAGTATTGAAATGATATTGATTGAATTAGTTGAGCTCATCCTCACACACTCACACCACTGACCTGGGATCAGATCCAGTTCCAGTTTAACCTACCACTGGGCAGCCATGTTGTGACAAACAAAAATGACTTGTTATTGTATTATGATCCAGGTTTGTGTCTGTGTGACAGGACTGTGGTGTTAGAGATTTTTTCCGAGGTTGTCGTCTGGTAAATCACTTCTCCCCTCCCCCCATTTCTCCC